CAGCCGGGTGTGAAGTGGCTGGGATGAGAATCAGCACCTCCAAGTCCGAGGCCATGGTTCTCAGTCGGATAAGGGTGGCTTGTTCCCTTTAGGTCGGTGGAGAGTTCCTGCCTCACGTGGAGGAGTTTAAGTATCTCGGGGTCTTGTTCACAAGTGAGGGAAGGATGGAACGGGAGATTGACATCTTTGATTAGACTGCTGCCCCCGCGACCCGGTTCTGGATAAGCGGAGGAAAATGGATGGATGGATGGATGGATTTATAAATGGCAAAGTCAGGACTTTGCCTGGAAAGCTGAAGTGAACTAGCATAAGAGGACAGGCTTAGTAAAAGTGTTTGATACAACAGTGTCAGTGGTTGGACAACTGAGAAGACCCAGGTGATTGCCATTACAAATCAGTTGGGCCAGCTGCTGCTTAACCTGAGCAAATGCAATGCAGATGCTGTGTGTCAAGCCACAGATGTGCACTTTGCTTGGGCGAGCATAGGGTTCAGGGATGCTTTGTGTTAAGGGTAGGTTAAGTCTGGAAAATTGTGTTGCTTATTGTGAGGCTCTTTATATGTCTTTATGACGACATATGAATGTTCTCCCATTCTTTGGCACATTTAATTGTGTATAATTGACCATCCAATGCTCTTGCTTGTCTGCTTGTAATTTGTACCATTATCCATTGGAGCAAACAGCTAAAAATATATAGCAAAGGAAGTCTGTGTTTTTGACTTAGTATAACAAATATTTTAACTCATATGGACCTACAAGGTCCATAACACTAAATATCTATACAATAGTAAACTTTAGTAAAACATAACTTCATTCTCTCTGCTCTGCTGTGTGTGTGTGTGTGTGTGTGTGTGTGTGTGTGTGTGTGTGTGTGTGTGCGTGCATGTCTTTCTATGTTTGGCTGGAAAAATTTAGTTCAATAACAGTGCTGACATTTATGCCGGTCCTACACCTTCAAAGGACTGTCTGAAGGTTAAGACTGTTTTAGGATTAAAAGGAGAATCAGGTTTAGGTTAGGGTAGGGCTGAGGATAGGCAAAGTAGTGGTGGTTAAGGTGCTGAGAACTGCATTATGTGAATGAGTGCCCTCACAACTAAAGAAAGACAAAGCTCTGTGTGACCTTAATAAAATTTCCCATTCAGAACTGTGTTTCAACTGGCATCCCTATCTGCAGCCAAGGATCTGCATTATAGGATGAATTTCATGTCTGAAATTCTATCATCAGAACAGTAATGCCATTTTTTTTAATATTTGTCAGACAATTAAATATTGTCAGTCATCGATATGTTGTGAATCTCTACTGATATATAGGTGGGTCATAGTGATCCTAGTTTTTTGACTCAGAACTCCCAAAGTGTTGGCTGTTAATGAGGTGTTTTGAACAAAAATTCACAGAGCGGCTTAGCCATTTAAACCAGTTTGCTATGAATAACTGTTATTCATTTCAAGGTAAAGTAACATTAATAAAGTGCAGCTGTAGCAAAATACTTCCCTGTACTTTCCCATTCCTAAAGACTGGAGCAACTTACTTGTTGTTGTTGGCTTTTTGCAGGGCCCCACCTCTCAGTGAACACAAGCAGCAATTCTGCAAAATGAACATGTCATCAATTAACTGTCCAACAAACAACAAAGGGCAAACTTTCTCTGTCATTGTTATAACAAGTAGTTGTCAACATTATTTGCAGCCATAATCCCAACAAACAGCTACAGCTACAGCAGCTGGACACTTTAACAAAGCAGTGTTAGTTAAACATGTACAGCTGAAGTCAGAAGTTCACATACACTTAGGTTAAAGTCATTAAAACCGATTTTTTTAACCATTCCACAGATATTAATAACCTGATTTTGGCCCATTCCTCCTGACAGAACTGGTGGAACTGAGTTGGGTCTGGAGGCCTCCTGCTCACACATGCTTTCACTTTCAGTTCTGCCCACAAATGTTCTATTGGACTGAGGTCATGGCTTTGTGACGACCACTCCAACACCTTGACTTTGACTGAAGAACACCATCCCAACTGTGAAGCAGAAGGGTGGCAGCATCATGTTGTGTGTGTGTGGGGGGGCTTTGCTGCAGGAGGGACTGGGGCACTTCACAAAATGGTAACATGAGGAAGGAAGATGAAGTGGATATATTGAAGCAACATCTCAAGACCTCAGCCAGGAAGTTAAAGCTTGGTCACAAATGGGTCTTGTCCAAATGGACAATGACCCCAAGCAGACTTCTAAAGTTGTGGCAAAATGGCTTCAGGACGGCAAAGTCAAGGTGTTGGAGTGGTCGTCACAAAGCCATGACCTCAGTCCAATAGAACATTTGTGGGCAGAACTGAAAGTGAAAGCATGTGTGAGCAGGAGGCCTCCAGACCCAACTCAGTTCCACCAGTTCTGTCAGGAGGAATGGGCCAAAATCAGGTTATTAATCAGCTTACTGTACAAAGCCTGTGGAAGGCATCCTGAAACGTTTGACCCGAGTTAAACAATTTAAAGGCAATGATACCAAACACTAGCTGTGTATGTAAAATGTCTCACCCACTGGGAATATGAAGAAAGAGATAAAAGCTGAAATAAATCTTTTTCTCTACATCGTTGCACTGGTTGATATGTTTCCTCATGAGGAAACACCAGATCCAGATATTTTTTTAAATAAATGTTATCCCAAATGCTCTGAACAGCCATAACTTTTTGCAGCATCTGAAATAAGTATGAAGGGCCCGTGTACAAGATCTTGTGTTTCAAAATGAGAAAATAAGTCAGTGGTAGACTTCCCGGATGTGGTTTTGTTTTTGAACAATGGCTGTCTATGGACCCGAATAAGATAATCCAGCATTGACAGATATTAATCATGAGTAGATGCAAATTATCTCTGAACATGGAATGTTGAAAATACTGAGAGACAGCTTCCACTCATATCAGGAGGCTATAAAAGAAGCTAAAATTCAATATTTATCGAACATTATTCTGAATAATAGCAAGCATCCAAGAGTCCTCTTTAAAACCATTGATTCAGTTATTAACCCTGCTGGCACTGCCCATTGACGGATCGGTTCTGCACTCTAATGAATTTCAGAGATATTTTACTGATAAAGTTAGGACCATCAGGCAAAATATTCTTAACCCCCCACCGTATGCACCGCCTGTATCTCAGTTATCGCAGACGCTAGACTCTTTCACTCCAATTTCTTTGCCCCAGCTTAAAAAATGTGTACTACAGCTAAAGCCTGCCTCCTTCCCCCGGACCGTCTTCCAGCCAGGATGACCAAAGAGGTTATTGACACGTTGGGTCCCTTTCTGGTCACTTTCATTAATTGTTGCTTGAAGATGGGTGTGGTCCCTACTGCCCTTAAACATGCGGTAGTGAGACCACTCCTCAAAAAACCTAACCTTAACCCTTCCCTAGTCTCCAATTTTCGCCCTATCTCTCTTTTGCCTTTTGTGTCTACGATCATAGAAAAAATTGTCCTTACCCAGCTGCAGTCTCATTTAGACTGCCTGGATATGACTGACAAGTTCCAATCAGGCTTTAAGCCCCGCCATAGCACGGGGTCTGCACTACTAAAGGTCCATAACGATGTTACCATGGCCCTTGATGCCAAATGTTCCCTTATGATGGTCCTTTTAGATTTATCAGCAGCTTTTGACAACTGTCGACCATGTGATTCTAATTTCTAAACTTGAACATTTCGCTGGTCTGAGAGGTGCGGCTCTAAATTGGTTCATTTCTTTTTTAACAAACAGAACCTTTTTGGTTATCACTGATGGCTTTTCCTCCGACATAGCCCCTCTTACCTCAGGCGTTCCACAAGACTCGATCCCGGTGCCATTACTGTTGTCCCTATATGTGCTGCCACTGGCTTCAATTATATCAAATTACAATGTTCCTTTTCATTTTTATGCTGATGATATTCAGATTTACATGCCTCTGATTCAATCCGACTCGAATGCACTAGCCCCATTACAGAATTGCATTTGAGATATTAAAATATGGTTAGCCCAGAACGTCCTTCATTTAAATGAAAGTACTGTAAAACTGAATTTATGTTCATCAGCGCTGATCCAACTGTAGTTCTACCTAGCTCATATGTCTCAGTCCTTTCACTCAAAGATTCTGTTAAAAATCTTGGAGTAATATTCGACAGCAAATTTAACTTCGATAAGCAGATTAGACCTTCTTCCACCTAAGGTTTTTAGCAAAGGTTAAGCCTTTTCTATTGCATCCTGATTTAGAACAAGCTATTCACGCTTTCATCACGTCACGCCTGGACTATTGTAATGCCCTGTATGCTGGGCTGTCTCAGCCCCTGGTTCGGAAGTTGAAACTGGTCCAAAATGCTGCGGCTAGGCTGCTGTCAAACATCCCCAAATATGCCGATATTACCCCTGTTCTCCATTCATTACACTGGTTGCCAGTACAGTAGAGGTTGAAGTTTAAGGTGCTGTTATTTGTGTTTAAGGCTATCCATCACCTTGCTCCGCTGTACCTCTCGGACCTGTTGTCCATTTATGCTCCACGCAGAGCTCTGCGATTCACAGGGTGCTTGGCCCTGGTGGTCCCACCGTCGCGATATAAGAAATAGGGCGACCGTTCTTTTGCTGTGTATGGTCCCAGACTTTGGAACTCTCTACCGCAAGAGTTACGGTGCATAACCGAATTAGTGGTTTTTAAATCAGTTCTGAAAACTCACCTTTTTAAACAGGCATTTGACATTTAAATTGCTTTTATTTGCCCATAGAGATGTTCTTTTTGTTATGCTTTGTATAGTTTGTATAAGAATGTTTCAGCGTTTTATTCTGCTAGGTTCTACTGTTTTTGTATGGCTTTTTTTGTGGCCATTTTAACTTCATTGTACAGCACTTTGTGCTCCTAGAAGTTGTAAAGGGCTATAAAAATAAAGGTTATTATTATTATTATTATTATTATTATTATTGTTAACAGAGAAAATAACCGGCCTTATCCTTGAAGAACTTGCTGATGACTGAGGAGCTCTACTTCTCTGAGCAGTGCCAAATGGTGCGGTTAAGTCACTGTTTGATCAAGTAATTTGATAATGCTTTTGTCATACAGTAATAGCTAAAGTGGTGTTTATAGTCAGTGAAAGTGTTAGTGGGAGTCCTGCCACGTGCTCCTGTGGCATAGGTTTGGTTTATAGTCAAGAGTTGAATTTGACCTCCACAATCAAATCAAATCAAATTTTATTTGTATAGCACCAAATCACAACATCTCAGGACACTTTACAAAGTAAGGTCTAGACCTTACAGTTATCACTATTATTGCAGAGGGAAAACCCAACAAATCCCCCTTGAGCAAGCACTTGATGACAGAAGGGAGGAAAAAATCCCTTTAACGGAAGAAACGTCCAACAGACCCCGGCTCTTGGTGGGCGGCCTTCTGCCTCGACCGGTTGGGGTGACAATGCAATGTATAGTATACAGTCAGGCCATATCATGCTTTATATTCCCCACAGTAACTGTGTTTACATCCTTGCATATACCTTGATCTCTACTTACAGTGGGTACGGAAAGTATTCAGACCCCCTTAAATTTTTCACTCTTTGTTATATTGCAGCCATATACTAAAATCATTTAAGTTCATTTTTTTCCTCATTAATGTACACACAGCACCCCATATTGACAGAAAAACACAGAATTTTTGACATTTTTGCAGATTTATTAAAAAAGAAAAACTGAAATATCACATGGTCATAAGTATTCAGACCCTTTGCTGTGACACTCATATATTTAACTTAGGCGCTGTCCATTTCTTCTGATCATCCCTGAGATGGATCTACACCTTCATTTGAGTCCAGCTGTGTTTGATTATACTGATTGGACATGATTAGGAAAGCCACACACCTGTCTATAGGACA